AAAACATTTATGACAAATATGAAAGAGTATACTGGCTGTTATCACTAATGTAAGTAATCAATAAGGATTTCCTTACATATATACCCATGTATCTTCATAACTTTATTCTCATATTTATATCGTTGGCATACATAATTATATGAATATTCTTACTTACTCAATTTGTTATAATATCTATGTTCATACATTCTTTGAAATATATGTTTATATCCTTACTGTCTATTTCATCACGCTAATCGTAACTTTCCGTGTATTGATACTTGGCATAAAACAAATTCATCTATTTAATTTATCCTCTGCCCCCTTTATATATGCCCCTCAAAATATTAATTATTTTATTGCTTCTTAATTTGATGATATTACCTCTACTTACTATTTATATAAACCGTACATACTTTATTATTTTTTATAAATGTAGAAAAATAGTATCCAAGGATAAATCATTTTAAGGAGAGAAAAATAAATACTGCTAAAGATATATTTTATTTCAAATTTTAGCATGATAAATATGTTTTATAATATACATTTCATAACACGAATATTTATGAACATATTAGCAAAGAATATTTTGTTAGCAAAAATGTTTTTATATGAGAATAATTTTAGAACTTCATAACATTAGAATAACTCTATAACATTAAAAATATATCTTTTAGAAAAATAATAGACTGGTAACGTTAATGTACTTTATTTTAAAAAATTTATGATTTTTCTAAGTATTATTGTTTCTAATAATTATGCGTATTGGGAATATTTTTCAAGCAAAAATTTAATAATACTCATACGAATCATTTACCATTTACGTATTTATCATTTACTTTTGAAGTATAATGTAAATGACTGTTAGATAGTGTATATATATTATAAAACAATAAACGTCTGCTAAATATTTTGAATAAAAATATCTGCATATGCTATATGCATAAAAACGCATTCAACGTAATTGAACAAGCGAATGAACAGAATGAAGGGGACTTATTTTTTTATACATGTATATATATATATATATTTTCTTATGCATACGCATGCATATCAAACATACAAACGCCACGTACATTGATAGTTATTCTTTAGATACACTTAACTAACCGCACGCGGATTAGTAATAATGCTACAGTTAAAATATTAGAAAACGCAATATTAATCTACATAAATATTAATTATTTTGTGAAAATTGTATTTATTATTTTTTCAAAAATATCTAGTTAAACATATATTTAGCTTTCTAAGAATCAATTCAAAACGTATTAAAAACCATTAAAATACGAGAATCTTTGTTTAATAAATTCATTGCACTGCAATTTCATCTTTATTCTTATACTACTTATTAGTACAAATGTTCTATTTTTGTCTTCTCTTTTGTCACGTTGAAAATGCCCATGGTTGGTGTACTGTGTTATAAATTTTATAATGACAACTATTAATATGATTAGTGTGATTAATGTGAACATAAAATAATATCTTTCAAAACAATATAACATCAACCATTTCTAAGAATAAATAACTTAATCTATCAACATGGTAAAAAACTATATGCATATTTATCATACAATAAAAATAATCAGTTTTAATTTAAAAATATATTTCAAAATCGCTTGATCTAAATTATTGAATTATGATATAATGAAAAAGAAATCACAACTGAAAGTATGGACTTCGTAACTTTAAAGTGTACTTGAATAAAAATGGTAAAGTAAATCTACGAGTTTTTTTAGTATTTGCACATACTCATACACAAATATAAGTATGTATTCAAGCAATGTTATTAATGTAGTATAAAGTGAGCGGCAGTGCGTACGAAAAGGTGCGAGACGTTGAGAGTTTCATGTCGAGTCTTCAACAGAATTCATATACCCGAAGGTACGTAGAAGCATAAACGAGACGTTAATGAAGCCTACACTTAAATATACATATGCATAGCACGCGTGCCTTTTAATGAATGAATCTTCCAGACATCAAAGCGAAAATAGAATCTGCACTAAGAATCGTAATTACTTAGGAACTCATATAATTTTGAATTCTAAAAGTTTATTTTAAAATCATAGATTATATCATAATTACACGATTACGGTTATTCTAAACGCTATTCTAAATATTCTATTCAAATATGTGTTCAAAACATTATTCTAATTTATGCTCAGATAAAAACTATCTTAATTTAAAAATGGATAATTTTTAATAGCTACATATTTTAAGATATTCAGAAGCTGCTTATTTATATCAGGTATAGAATGTTAATTAATTCAACATAAATATGTTTTAATAAAAGAACTAGATATTATCAGTTTGTACCACTGAATAAATATTAATTGCTTATGTTTTGTTATTTTTAAATTAAATATTTGATATAAAATATTTACAATATCTATCTTACAATTTCATATTAGTTACTAAATTTAAGTATAGTCAAATATATAGTTTGCATATTCATCTTTTAAAATGTTTGTTTAAAGTTACATAAATAATTTAAAATTCAATTTATTTTAGCTTCAATTTTTTTAAATATTGTTATTATATTTTTAGCTCACTGCTCTATTTAAACGTAAATATGACAAAGCCCCTAAATATTTTCCACACATAAGTCCACACATTAGTGTGCAGCATTATCCCTTCACGTTTACCTCTCAATAAAATATTTCCTCTTTGAAATCAGGATAAAAAAAGTAAATAGACAGTCTTTTTCGTAAATTGATTCTTCTGTAACTTTTATTTATAAAAAATCACTTCGACAATGGTACTATAAATCTTATAAATTATTTAATAATCAAACACTTCTTAATACAGTACATTCTAATTTGTAACACATTTTTCAGAACATTATGTTATATTTAATGTTCATTTTACAAAATATTCACAATATTATTATATAATGCCATGAAATATATATGAAATATTAAACGGTACATATATTGAACTATGATTTTAATATGAAACTTCATTTTCATTCCGTGAAATTGTTTTTGCATTATTTTTCATTATACTACTATATAAAAGCACAATAAAATTTACAATACACGTACAAAATATTTGTAAGATTGTTTTAAATTTTGACAGAAATTGAAATACTTTGCACCATATAATCATATTTCTTTTTATTTTAATTAAAGTACTTTAATTTAGGTTATTTTATTAATCAAGGTCAAAGAAGACGCATTTGACAAATGTACATTGAATTATCTTTTTATGTAAAATTGATTTTATATTTAGGCATAACAATAAAAACTTATAAAATTCAGTAAAAATAAAGTATTAAAAACATTTTTTAATATTACACATCAACAATATATTTTATCTAAAACATTTGTTATTAAAAAGTTCATAAACTCTTAAAAATTAAATAATCCTTGAACACCTATTTTTTTTTAGAATTTTTGAAATATATCAAGAAATCTAATAATATTTGATTTCAATTTTTATCCTTGATAAAAATAGAATTATTTTAATGTATGTAATAAGAAAACAGCTATAAAATAAGTGTATATTTAAAATAAATTTATTTATCTGTTATATTTATCTGGTACAGATAATAATTAACGAATGAAAAAATATTATACAAACAGTTATAAAAATAATTGATTAAAAATAGATTTTTCAAAAATTCTAAATTAATTTATATAAAGAAAGTGTAAGACTTTAAAGATGTTAAATTTGTAACAAAAAATAATAACCATAAGATATTTTACTAAATATCAAAATAATAATTACTAACGTTTGATTTATATTAGTTTTAGTTTAATAACATTCTTACGGAGATAATTTAATATTATTATTAATATTAAACAATGGTTGTAATAATAATGTTTTCTATATAGAATTTATTAAAATATATGAGTTAATATTGTAATGTAATAGAATTAGCAATAAATTATAAATGAAATTTTTTAATTTTAACACTAAATTAATAATGATAATAACAGTTAAGGATATTAATTTAATCATTTGAATTTCAGTATGGATATAATTATTATGCTAAGACCATTTATAATAGTATAAATATGAGGATATAAGTAGTCGATGTAATGGTTGATAAAAGATTTAAAATATTTCATTATTAGTATCGTTTAAAATTGTGTCAATGTATCTATTATTTTCAAGTAAGTTTAGAATTTTCTAAACTTTCAATATTATTTTTGTTTTTACAAAAATTAGTACCTACATAATGTAATAAATAATGGAATGATGTAATAATTATAGTTTACTTATATTAATTTGTTTGCGTTTTAAAAAAACATTACATACAGTATGGACTAAATATTCGAGAAGATAAGTTTATTGCTACTTACCTTCATAATTATTTTCTTAACATCTCGTACATTATATTTTGAAATGATAATATAGAACAAATGTATCCGAAAACCCTAATAACTTCTTTACATAAAATTGTATATTATTATAGTGTATTTCTAAATTATTATACTTAATATGATATGAAATATCTGTTATATTCAAAAAATGTTTTCAATTATTCAGTTATTTTCATTAGTCTTATTGGGACTAAACATTTTTAGAATTTAATTGTTTATCAGTAATGCCACAGTACCAAACAAATTGAAGGACATTTATGCGTATACATAAATTATTAAAATTTTTTATAAATTATTTATGTGGTAGTTATAAATATAAGCAATCGTGAAATAATGAAAAAAAAACTAAAAAATACAAAAGAATATCTTTTATTGCACCAGATTTTAATCAATATAAATTATCATAAACAATATCATTTTTATAATTATACAATGAATAGCACTGTTATAAGTAATTAAATATGAAAATTGTTAAAGCAATGCGACATCACTATTTATGCATAATTAAGTACTTTAATCGAATGTATCCATACAAGTTTATCATCACGAAATTACTTTGTTTTTAATTTGCATATTTACAGATATCAATTTTATACTATAATTAGAGATTGAAAAACAAAAGAAAAATATTTTTCAGTAAAAAGAAAAAATTATAACTAATCAACAATGTAGGAGTTTAAAAATTAATGGTCAAGATTAAAGCTCCTCAGAAAGAACAATAGGCGCTCTAGATCCAGCTTTCATATCCTTGACATCAATACTGATATCGTCTACTGGAGTCGATATGCGGTTTAGTTGATTTCCATTGATTTTAATATCATTGACAGAATGTGAGTGATCATGTGTACTTAAGAGTTTTTTTACAATGGAGTGATTATTATTAATTGGCTTTGAATTTGATTTTAAATTTTTTGATATAGAATCGGAATGAAAATTCGAATAACAAAATAATTTATCGGGACTAGAAATTTTATGTTTGTTTTGTTGTTCTTGTATTGGAGGTGGTTTCGAACTCGTATTAGAAGTTGAAATATTGACGGTAGTAAATATATTAGATTTAGAATTCGCTTTTGATTTTGAATTTATACAATTATGATTGATTGACTCAATGAGATGGAAATTGTTATGACTCAACTCTTTTAATGGAGTATCAGTAATTGTCGTTGTAGTAAAATTCTTTGACACGGAAGACACAAGATTCGTCAGTTGATTAGCTGATTGTGAACGAATGGCATGGCTACTTATTTTGTCTTTTATAGCTAATTGATATGCAACTTCAAATGCCTGACCAAGTGTTAGAATAATCTCGGTTGCTTGATCCTGGAAAATAAAATACATATATTTTCACTAAAAGTTGTATTCTACCACAATTATTTGAATAAATTTTGATTTAATTTTAATCTAATAAATAGAAATATAAATTATTATTCAAGATTATACAAATTAAGTTTTATACTGAAAACGAATGACTATTAATTTTTTTTTCATTTGTAACAATTTCATACTGTAAAAATTTTATTGTTATATTATTAATAAAACCAATTAAATATTTTTATTTAACTTTAATAAAGTATTTTCTTAAATACTTTTATAATTATTGAGTTTATAAAATATAATTTAAAACCAAAATGAAACTAGTTTTACAATAAAATTTAGTTTGTAAATTATTAGTATAGAATGGTTTTTGTATTATAAGAATGAAAACATGATTCGAATTATATTTTTATATGAAACTTATGATTATAAATTAAATTTTGTTTAATATATGTATTTTATTGAATATATTTAATGCATATTTAATAATATTTACCATTGTCAGTACGCAGAAAACATGACAAAAATGAGTTCTACTTATGTGATCTTTGGTAATATAAGCAAAATGTGTCAAATCATCTGCATCCTGACAAGCACAATGGATGTTTCGTATCTCGTGTTCACATATTGGCTCCTATATTTATGTAAAAATTCAAAAAGGAATTGTAAATTAATTCAAATATTTTTCAATAGTTATTAAAAAGTGTCAATAACTGTTAATGTAATCTTACATTAGTTAATGTATTAAGAAATCGAACGCCCCGATATGAAATCGATAAAGTGATATCTGGAGTACCTTTTGGGTCTCGATAAATCATTTTCAATTTTTGTATCGACTTTTTTGTTGACTCTGTTCCTCTTAATTCCTTCACAACCGTTGAACCCAAATACTAGACATAAACGATGAATAAGTTTTTAAAAAAGCATATAAATAACTATTTATACTAAATAACTAATTTAGTTGTAAAATCATTTTAATATTTTTGCGGTTTCTAGCTACTAAATATTATTGATATTTAATTATTTTTAATTTTTAATAGTTCAAATAATCTTCAAATAATTGATTTGAAATATATCAAATTATTAAATCGAAATAAATTAAAAATAATTTTTAATTTTTTAAATATTTGAATAAATTTCAGAAAATAAATTTAAAAAAATTAATTTATTAATAATCCAAAATCAAGTAAATTTAATATTAATATTAAATTGGTTAATTAACATGATACTTTTATGACGTTACACTTATTTAAATGTCAACTTTATTATTTGAATTCAATTTTATTATATCAGACATTAGATAAATTTTTCGTAATTACTTACATTGGCGATGTAAGTGACGCAACCAGTGACTAGATCATTGGGCTGATGTCTCCATTGAGTTTGAAGGGTCGATGGCACTCCGAACAGTAGTTCGGATGGTCCTCTAATTTCCAGATACTCAGATGTTTGTAAAGTTCCATTATGTATACTAAGCACCTGTGGTGGCTGAGGTGCAGGTCTATTCTTACGATGCTTTAATGTACTTGTTGCACTAACAGTTGTTCCGGTAACCGTGGTAACAGCTGTCGATTCTGATGTTGGCAAAATAAAATTACTTATGTTGTGCTCAGTATCAGGAAGTTTTTCACGAATTTCCTCTTTCAACTGTTGAATATTTGTATTCTGCAACGAATTTCGTGTTTCTTGATTTAATTTTTTGTTTTGTAATTCTGATTATAAACTATTGTTTATTTCATATATTATTTAAAAATTATTGTACAACTTTTTATTCTGGTTTAATATTCCGTAGGAAAAAAAATAGAAAAGATTTAACAATTCAATTGAAATTAATACCTGTACATCCATAAATTAACTAAATGAAATAATTAATAATTAAAAATATTCTTTGAAATCTCTGGAATAAATAAGATCCCATGCACTAAAACAGATAAATTTCATACTAGGTAAGAAAATATTATATTAATAGAGTGATAAAATATTTCAATATTTGTCCACATAATTATCAGAAATATAATAATGATGGTTCAGAAATAAATGAAGAAAAAAGTATCATAATAAAAGTTTTTAAACTTAATTATTTCAGTTCAATTATGAACATTTAGATTAATAGCGACATTACAAGAAAATTAAAAATGGTCAGTTGTTCCAAAATATGAAATAAATAAAATGAAAAAATCGTATTTCTCATTGACCAAATTTTGAATATATAATACATGGATTGCAACAATGAATATATAATATACAATAAATATTAGAAGTTGTATTTCCAAAAATGACATAATAAAATATAAAATTGATTCAGTCTTATAATAATACAACACTGTTTGTGTGTATAAAATATCAAATATGCTTAATTTAAAGTTTTTCTATTAAATTTAATTATAATTAAATAATTAAATAAACGAGTCCATAAAATAAAATAAATCATTATTGATTATATATTTACATATTTCTCGTAAATATAAACATAATTTAATTAAACAGATAATCATTCTATTTACTAAATGTGGACAAATTTTTTTGTTCTTTACAATATAGTCAATATGAAAAAATATCATGATTGATATAATAAATATAATAAAATATATGATATAATAATCATAAATCAAACACAGACATGCACACACATACAAACATTTAAATCATATAGTGTAATAAATAAAGTTCAAATAAAACTAAATAATAACAGTCTAAGATAAAAGTAACAAATAATAGTCCTTTTTATTATTAAAAATATAATTACGATATACGAATATTTATAAATACTTTACTACTAATAAAACAGTAGTGACGACAAGTAACATCTTATAATAAATTATTAAATGTCGAATGTATAAGTAATAAATTAATAAACAACTTTTCAAACAAATTTATGATTTCATAAATATAGAGTCTTAAAAATTTAATTATTAATTCGTTATTATACTTTAAAATAATATATATTGCTGTCAAGAAGAGTTTATTCATATTAAATGATGGAAAATATAGATGATTGAAACTATTTCAAACTTATAACACGCAGTGTAGTAAAAAAAGAAATTTTTATATTTTATAACAAATACAGAATTATAGATTTTATATTATTTTTATAAATATTTGTTTGAGTACAATATAAGTATGCTAAATTTCTTAATTTTCATATTAATGATAAATATTTATGTTAAATATTTTAATTATTATATTTCTTCAGTAATTGATTCAGTATGAATAATTAATTCAGTAAAAATAATTATTTTATTTTATTTATTAATAAAAATAACTTTATATTGTAAATATTAAAAAATACTTACCAAGGCATCAAGATCCTTGTTAAGATCCTCGAGATTAGGACCATTGTTATTGCCCATATGTGAAGCTGAATTTGACATATGATCACACTTAACTGAAGTTAAAATTCTTTTGCGATGTGCAGGTTTCTGTATTTCCAATACAGCTGCTAGCTCGACTTCCCAAACCCTACGGACTCGGTCCATATCCGTGTACAAGTGCCTCCTGAATAGTTCTGTATAATTATCCAGGTGTATAGATTTCAGCCAATCATCAACAGTTTGGGTTTTAACTACATCCGGTTGCTTTCCGACTTGGTTGTTAAGTAACATTACTGCATCCATTATAATAGAACATTCTTTTTCGCTGTTAATGCCCATCTCCTTTAAATCCTTCATGTCAATAACACCATTCTACGAATCAAGGAAAATCAAAATGATAAAGTTTTGTTAATAAATATTCTTGATATTAGCACATAAAAAGAATTATAAATATTGGAAAATTCTAAATAGAAAAAAAATATTTCGCGAAATATAGTTTTGCTTTATTTTATATTAACTCAGTAATCCATCTTAAATAAAAATATTTAATTATAATGAAAGTACAGTGTATTCATATTTTTAAGAAAAATTAATTATAAATATTAAATAACATATTATAACTAACTAATAATAAATATTCTGTAAATAAAATTTTAATATTTCTATAAATTATACTGAAAGTTAAAGGAACTACGAAATTTTTAATCTTCTACTAATATAAATATTCATTTATTGTAATTAATATATTTTTAAATCATTTACTATTTAAATTCTGTATGAAGTATATTATTTTCAATTATATATTTTATTTTTAAATTTAATATACTTACAATGAATTCTAAATCGTCGAATCCATAATTTATAAAAAGAGATTCATAGTCTGTTAAGTTCAATTGCGATAACCATTGACCTACCAATGTTAATGCACATGGACTACCTGTATCCGTATTTAAACCTATAAAAATATGAAACACTATTTTAAAATATTATCAAAATAATAAAACTCATTATCTAAAAATTAATAAGAAAATGACATTTAAATTATGGATATAAAAATGTAATTAAACATCTTCAAATATTGCACATGATTCCTTATCTAATCACGACTACTAAATAAAAATTTTTGAAAAACAGAATTAAGTTGAATTATATTAAAAAAAATGAGTTAAATAATTTTCTATTTAGTAAATGTAAGTTAGAATTAAAGTTGAACGTTTTTAAATAAATAAAAATAGTATGTCAATATTAAAATTTAATACATAAAGAAAGCATTACAATTACTTAAAATTTATTTATTAAAATATATAAATAATATTACGATTTAAATTAAAAAAAAATTTTTATATTATAATAATATTTTTTCAAAAAACTTTTGGATATTTATAATTTTGATGACTTACTTTACAAAATTATATGGAAGTCATGAGATGAGTTTCCTAATATAATAAATATACAAAGATAAAACAGATATGTAACTTATTTTCCAAAAGCGAAAATATATATTATAAACCTTTTTAATAATTATTATATTCCATACAATATTATTATATAAAATAAGAAAATTTTGCTTTCAACAATTAGATGTATGCTAACATATAAATAATTAGAAATGCAAAATATTCTAATTGAAAATATAATACAGACTTTGGATACATTCTTTTATGGACTCTGTTATCATAGAATTAATAACAAAGTAAATTATAAGAATTAAATAATATGCGTATCGCTCTGCAGGAGTGCAGTTTCATTTACCAAGTCTTGTTTCGAATTCCTTCTCAAGCTCATTGACAAAGATAGATTCACGAATAAGCCCTGTACCAAAGGAGGCCATGATCTCTGAAATCTTAGCCCACTCCTCTTGCTCATCAAAAGGGCTCATTAAGTTTAGCCTCGTCTCATCAGATTGCTCTCGACCTACAACTAGCTGGTAATTATCACTCTCGCTAGTCGTGGCAAGGTCTTGCTGATCCAGTCGCTGTTCACCAGTGACGTTGACGTCATTGCCCATCCCGTTGCCGCCGATAGCCGGCGAGTAGACCTTGCGCAGACGACGCAGGGTGCGTGGGCGTTCTAAAGCTGAGACGGAGCCCTTCAGTAGTCCTATAATATTTCCAATTATCCTTTCTTATATAGATAATGTATTAATTTTTATTATATTCGAAAATAGAAACAAGTAATTTTAAAACTGATTAGTTTTATCAATGACACATTTTGATAAAGTTTAAGTTAAAGATTATATTCGTACAAATTGTAGTGAGTTACAAATGATTTAATAAATAAAGTTATATATCATTTATTTAGATACTATAACATCTCTATGCTATAAATTATTTATTTTATATATAGATAATTAAATGCATGCATGTATATTTATATTTTCATATTCCAACATGATATATAACAATATACACCAATAATGACGATATTATTATCTATTTGTAAACATGAATTACCATTATTTTGAATTTATTTTTTGAATTAATGTAGAAAAATAAAATATATAAATACATGTATAAAAATAAATAAGAGTACATACAATGCATAATTTAATTATATATCGACAGATGTAACTATAGTTATTATAATACTGCTTATTTTCTTATATAAATACTATTATATACAAATGCTTATATATAAATTAAAAGTTACACGTTTCTTATAAAATAAACATTATATTATAATCACACTAATTGAAGTAAACTTCATTAAAAATAAAGAATAAATTAATATTTATCATAAGATCTATATTTTCACTTTCTGCATAATTGTCTACATTTTATTTGTATATATTGAATTACTAACAATTGTTTATATTATTCATTTTCAAATTAATACAACGAATAATACTTGGTAATAAGAACGTAAATAAAAATATACGTGAAGAATGTAAAATAAAAAAAATATTAACATTGAATTAATTACGTTATTTATAAGCATTTCCAAATATCTTTACAATTTTATAAGTGGAATAGTCACTTATCTATACTATTTTAATATAATAATATTTCCAATTACGTTGATTAATATAATTTTTAAAATGATAAAATCATTTTTCATAGTATTAAGATTAAAAAATATCGTGATAATTGCTGGAATTTTCAGATTTTTGACATTCAATAAAAGATATAATGTAATTATGATAAAAATCGAATATTTTATTAGGATTCGGTAAACCTAAATTCAAGAAAAACCATGAAAATCAGAGTAAAGCAAGACCTAAAACTAAGAATTTACAAATATATATTAAGCAAGCAACATAATACTTCTGATTAAAAAGTTATTATTTTGTGATCTATCAGAACTAATTTTTTTATAATTTTTCCCCTTATTTTTCATATTATATAATTGAATTCAAATATATATGAAATAAAATTATTAGTAATTTATAGCATAATACACAGTTTTTTTATAAAAAATTTATAAATACAAATTTCCTATATGATCTGAACAAAGACGTTAATAAAGATTTAACATGGATGAATACGTGTCATGCAGTTTACATATAAATTAGGTTTCAAGGTATATCAGTAATTCTTATAATCTAAATTTTTTTCAGCCTTCATATTTTAGTCATTGTAGTCATTTTCATAAATATATTTTTTTCGTATATGACCAATGAGTACAAAATAAAAAGCTAATGTTAATGAAAATTAAAAATAAAAAAAATATAAATGGAGATATAGAATTTTAAAGATTTGAGATCGAAAAACGTAACTAAGAAATTCTTATTACTTGAAGCTCCCTTATATTTTTAACCATTTATTAATGCACATTTTTTGCAAATTGCAAATTGTATGTATTATTTTTTAGTTTTTTCTTCAATATTATTCGTGATCTAATAAGGAAATGAAAATATAAAATCTCAGTGTAACGAATTTTTTTCTTAAACAGCAATTTGTTTATTGCTGATAAATTATTATTATTATCGTTAATGGTTTTCTTATTATTATTAGCATTTTTGTTATTATTATTAATTTATATGCTTTTTTATAAATACTTACCATATTTATATATGTAATATGTGAATAAAAATGAAGATTATTAAATACTTTCATTACTGTATATAAAATATATGTATATAAACTAATCATTAAATTGAAAATAAATAATACAATTCTTTTTTTCAATGCATTTTTATATGATAAAATTCTATGTAAATAGTTATTACAATATCAGCATTGTTGATTCAAAATAATATTAAAAAATTTGGTATCTTTACTTTAACCTAATTATTGTATGTATTTCTAAATTGAAAGAAAAATAATTTATTTAGTAGCTTATTATAAATTGAATTTAACGACATTATTAAATACTTGAAATATTTTAATATAAATAAAAATAATTTTTAAATATGTTTATTTCTTGACAATAAAAAATATATATAATAATACACAATTTAAAATTTACAACTGAACAAAAATAATAAATAAGTGTAATTTAAATAAAGATAGATTTAAATAAACTAGATTTAAATAAAGCTGGTGAATTTTTAATTTTCAACGTATATGAATATTTTTTAAATTTAGAACTCATATAAGTAAATAATTACTGAAATTTTAAATTTATACATTTATACATTTTTATATTTAATAGAATATTTTAAATACTACTGGAATATATACTTTACTGTATGGTTTTATCAAAATAACCATTTGAAATTAATACAAACAATACAATAAATTATAAACAATAATTTTATAATTCAGATCAATTTTTCACTTTTAATGTTTCTCTATATTACATCTAAATTGAAAAATATATTAATATAACATAAATATTATTTATTGATTAGGTAAAGTTTGATTAATAATGGTAAGACCAATTAAATTGTAAATTACTATTTTACGTTCTTAAAATTATGAATTTTAGAGTGGTATAATAAAGTGTATAGTTTGACCAATTTAGATTATCATTAAAATAACATTGTTAATTTATGTAATTATGTCTTGTATTTAGTTCCTTGAATAAACTTTTTAATGAATTAAATATATATTCAAACTCAAAGTTATATGGTTATATAGTCATATCTCTGGAAATTATAAATTATAAATACAATATATTATTTAAATTTATAAAACTGTAATATTATTAAAAATATGATTTTAATATATTATGTAAATAATAAAATGCAGATATAATAAATTTAGAATGAAATTAAAAATTTTTATTTTTAATATGTTCCAAGAGAAAATGAGATTTTTCTACATTTAAATGAATATCTTAATATTTGTGTTATAAACTTTATATAATTAATTTATGTATTCATTTATTTATGTATATAGATGATTAAAATATTAACATAATTATTTTTTTGTAAATTACTAAATTTTAATAAATTAGTGGATCGGGGCGAAATATATAAATTTTCTAGAATAATAATCAATTTCATATAATGTAGTAATAATAATTTTCTACTAACTTCAGTTTGTTTGGTTATCGTGGATAAACGCGCGATAATAACATCGGATATATTTAATCTTATATTAGCATGGAATAAAATTAAAACTTTATTAATACTTATACAAATATTTATATATAAATTAAATTATATACATAAATTATTATAGTACTTCCTTATATAATTGTTATTCACTTTATTTTATAAGTTATATATTTTATACTAATTATAAATTGTGAAAAAACTTAATGTAATTTCATGTAGAACTTATGTAAATAAATAGTTACATAATAGATAATTAAAATTTATAAATAAAAAATTATAGAAGTAAATACTATAATAATTTGAATATGTAATTTAATGTATATAATTAAGTATATATAAGTATTAATAAAGCATAAACAATAGAAAAAAATTTGTAAGTTATAAATACGAGATTATTTTTGAATCTGGAAATACACTGATTTTTTAATAAATATTTTTAATAAATTCATAATCATTACTTTACATTATTCGAATTTTTATTATGTCAATTACTGATTAGCCCTCAAAGAATTATTTGCAGTTTCTAAAATAGCATATATAAAGTAAATTACTACATTTATAGCGATCCCGTTGTCTATTCTCTTTCTTTCCCTTGATAGCCACATTTTGAATTTCTTAGTTTAAGTGTGGACGATAGATTACCTTGTTATCTTTAAATATTATATATTATATCTTACTTTATCAATACAGTGATTTTACTATTTGTTTTTAAAAATTATACTTAATATTTAACTAGGAATTAAATTATTTAATTTGTTTTTCTTATAAGTTTTTTAAACTGTTTATTAGCATGTAAATTAATAAATTGTAATGTGTTTATATTAATCAGAAATTTTTACTAGAAAAATCTAATGATTATTTGATAATAGTAATTCTCATTTTTTTTAGAAATTAATGGTTTTATGAAATAAACAACAAATTATTTTAATAGAAATATACAATAATATTTCACATAATTAATGAACATTCATAGAATAAGTTATATAATGTAAAGAATAATTATTTAAGTATTTAAATAAGAAAATAATTAATATGAACAATTTCGATTTTAATTTATTAGTAATTCAAAAAGTCTCATTTATCGAATATTTGAAAAAGTTGCAATTAAATTCTATAACTGAAACTTGCATTTTTCCATAACTTATTTGATTCTCTTCAACTAAATTATAATACGTAAAATATTACTTATGAAAATAAAAAATTTTATTTATAAAACAAAAAATATTGTTTTACAATAAAAATTAAAAAATTAGTTAAGTATTTTATAATAATTATTATTATATATATTAGTAATTATAATTATTTTTATTTTCACTAATTTTCTTTAAAGAAATTTTACGAATATTTCAAAGTACGTTACTCTATACTCAGAATATAAGCTGTATATTATATTTCAAAATTATTTATTCAATAATTCTTATTACATTATAGTTTTCTAAATTATACTAACGTTTGTTAGCCAATCTAATGCTGGATAGACCAGTGCCAGTTAATTAAAGAAATTCTATATGCTAAGAAAAATAGTAAGTATGTATCGTAAAATATACCCTAAAATTTTGCGGAATAATATTACTAAATAAATAATTTAAAAAACCATAGTTTATAAGTAATTTAGTTTCGAATCATATTTTATGTAAGACCTTTAACAATAAATATTAACATAATTATAAATATGAAAAAGAAAGAATTCAGATCTGCAAATTGTATTTTTAATATTTAGCAATTGTTTTATTAAATATTTTATCAAATATTTTCTCAACAATAGTTAGAAAGTAAATAACCTTATAAATATAAATAATTTATATGTAGACGGTCATAATAAATTATTATGATGAATTATAATAATTAATACTTATTTTGGAATCAATTTTTAGTTCATTTTCTAAAATTTAATTAATATAAAATAACCATCCTTTCTTTGACGCATGAATTTAATGAACAGTACATTGATTTAGCAACTATATAATTAAATGTTAAAGTCTATTTTCTTTTGGTGCCATACAAGAACACTTGTTCATAGAAGCGACACGCTAATCTGCAAACGCGAAATAAAATTTGTAATTTTATTTATGTACAATGTGAATTTAATGTTTAAGTTAAAAGATTATATATGGTAAAATCTTAATTAATTGTATTTGTATCATTTTATCGTATTATTAAATATAGCCTATTCAAAAATATGTTTTCATAACATTTTTTGTTCTTATTTTGTACAAAATATATTTTTATATTTAATATTCTTCAACATATAATATATTTCTGTACAAAATAACTTTGAATTAAATATACATTATTTAATAATTCAATTATATTTTTGTAACTGACCTATATCTCTATGTATTCGAATAAATATTATTGACAATAATAAAAATATTGTAGAATATTATTATATATACTATAATTATTTTTTGTAACCTGATTTGTATCTAAAATAAATGAAAACATTAAATAATAATTTTAGTAAGTTTATAAAGTATACTATATGTTAGACAAATTATCATACTATTTTGAAATTAAAATATATTTAATATTCTTAATTTGATGATTATTCAGTTAAAATGTATTTTATTATAAATTATATTGTCTAGAATATTGTTTTTTAATTAAATAGAATGATTTCAAAAGTTTATTAAATTACTTGTATTACAACTAGTTATATGATTTATACAATTCTTTAATTCTATCAATACGCCATTGATATAAGTTTGTAAACCCAATTATAATGGAAGTTCTAATTATATTAAATCAATTATGATTTTTAAAAATTTATAGTTGATGAATTTTAAAACTTTTGTAAAGCTGGATTTAAAAAAATTTAATTTTTATGGCAACAAATACTATAAATACTAAAAAAACTTATATTAAAAGATATAAAGGAGTCATAAAAATAGCACTTGAAATTATAAGATATTTATTTAATCATAAAATGGGGCTAAAGATGAGTCAAATTTGTCTTAATCTCATTTTACTTATATCAATGATAAAAGAAACTCAACTCAACACAGGCGTTTACATGTTAAACATACATGCACTACATACCAACCTAAACTTTATATTACGTGCCGGCGTACATATGCCATCATCAAGTACCTGATCTTGCTTCCGAATTCAGTCCTACTATATATTATTTTATATCCAGTAACGAAGAATGAAAGAAACTCGAGAACTGAAAAGCGCTACGCAATGCTTATTCGAAGACATGAAAGAGACGGGAGCAGAGAGACTTACCAGCATAATGCCGTTGGGCTGCTACACAGCAAATCTCCCGTACAGTATTCCAAAGTGTATAGAAATCTTCAGTCAAACTGCACCGAGAAGACAAGAGATCGAAAAAGTAGCTCTCGAAGAAGATCACCTTATTTATAGTTTATTCCGAGCAATAGTCTCATTCCAAGAGGCGTATACACACGCGCTGATGATTTAAAGAATGAGACGACTAATTCAAGAGTGAGCACGTTCCGGACTATCACTGGCAACCGTCGGTCGTGTGGAGGCGCGTCGGAGTCGAAGACCGAGGAGGAGGAGAGATCAGGCGATGAGGAGACGTGGCGCTATGACGAGTAAGACCACACAAAATAAAGAGGTTCCTCGACTTGGTTTATAATTCGCAAACGTCAATAGATAGCGTTGCAAGAGTAGAAGAAAAATGGGCCTCAATCCTTCTCACGCACATTCAACTATAGTTCACAGCCGGACTTTTATCTATCTTTTTCTTTCCCTTTTATACATAAATGTTTAGCCGAATTAGATAGATACAAAGAGAGGTTCATAGCAATAAACTACTTAGATGTATGATAATCAATATCTCAAAAAGCTTTTATGATATAAAAATAAAAATTTTTCCTAAAAATATTTTATCGATAATTTTATTTTCACATATTTTTTATATATCATCGTATTAATTATAATTTAAAAAATGAATAAATTTTATTATTAAAATGTATACACGTTTAAATTAAAAATAATTTATTATATAAAATTTGTTAATAATAATAAATTTAAATAAATAAGAAACATATTAATTGCTTATTTAAACTATTAATACATTTTAGAAATAAATAATACGATTAACTGTGCATGATTATATGTGAATATACTCATATTCCAAATTGCAAATGAAAAACGTTTCTCAATAAAATTAGGTATTAATTAAAATTTCATTAGGAATTTTGTTTATATACGTTCTTCTTATGTAATTAAGAAAAGAATAACAGAAAATCATAAGCGTAATTAATGCTAATGAATACGTAGTTAGAATTTTACAAATATATTAAGCTTATAAAAATAATAAAATAAAGACTAAAGTGCAAAATATCTAAAATAAACAAAATATTTTGAAAGTTATAATATATATTTATCCAATAAAATAGAATTGTATATTTCTTAGTGCATTCTGAGTAATTCATTTTCGTAAATATAGAGTATGTATTATTAGGTAGAAAGGGAATACATGTCATAAATAACAATTAAATAAATAAAGATATCAGATTGAAACATAAATAAAATATTTATTGCTAGATAAATGGTATAAATGTATGTGCATTTACAAATATGCTATGTACTCTTACTTAATATTAAAATAAAAATATTTATTTTAGTTACCGTATAATTATGCATAGCGTCTATACTTATTGTACATAAATATAATTTTTTTACTATAATTCCATTAAACATAATTATGTTTTTAAAATAAATTATCGTAATTAGGTGTATCATTACATTAAATATGAAGAACCTTATATTTTATCAACACTGCAAACAATAACAAAATCTAAGAAATGGATCTTATAATTAACATTAATAACATTGTTAGGTATAATTTTGTTATATATATTACTTAAAATATTTTTTTATTAAATTATACTAATCCTAGGTTCTGATTTTATAAATAAAAATATTCATTTAGTTTCGTAACTATAATAATTTGTAATGGTTTAACCTTATATTTTGTATAATGTGAAAAACCTTTATTAAAATCTTCATCGTACACATTATTGATATTATTTACACAATTAATTACACGACCTATTTCAATACATAACTTTATCTATCTATTACATTATATTTTATACTTCTGAAATTTGCTCCAATAGATTTTAATTATCAGTTTATAGTACATTACTTGTCAGTAAAAAATGAACAAATTATTAAACATAACATATTATTTACTTTTATTTGAACAGAAAAATAATGTTTTCAATTATTGTTATTTCTTTTAAGATAAGTGTATGTTTATTAGATACACGAATAATTAGTATTCGGGGAATCTGTTTAATACAATTATTTATATACTAATTTTATATTATATAATTTAGCTTACACTACCATTTTATAATTGATTTTAAAAATATAACTATTTGATAATAAAAATATTTGTATTTATAACCGATTTATAAATTCTTGATTAACCATATTCGATACAAAAATATTATTTTTATATTATATAGCTTTTGTAATTATTATACAAATAAAATAAAAAACTTTATTGAAATTATAAATTACTTATATTATAAATATTAAAAATAATTTATTTCGGATTAATTAATTATAACATACTGATAATAACCAGCTGAAATAGAATACCGCAGTTTTTATTTATACAATTTGAATTTGTAAATGTACAATTGGTTAAACCGAAATATTTATTAACACTGTATTCATTAATCGTTAAATGATTAATTTATAATAAACTATTAATATTTGAATCGAAAATCAATGCATTCTGCAGAAAAACTAATATCGAGATAAAAATTATTTTTTTTTATTATATTTATTTACTTTAAAATAGTAACGTTTCTTAATTATTTCAGAAAAGTAAGTTTTATAAAATAAGAAACAATATGAACATAAAACAGAAATAAAATAAAAATAAATATAAAAAACAATATATTTATCACTCAATTTATTATATAAACTTAGTTCCAAACTTATTTCAATTAATGACACAATTTTACGATTTAAAATTAATGCAATCAGAAAAGACTCAAAAAGACAGAAAACAAAAAATTATATACTAAATCATTATTTATTTAAGGAATTTTTAATTAATTTAATATCAGTTTGAATGTAAATTTCTATCTATAAAGAGCCTTTAAGCTAACCCTAAATAAGACACTTCAAAATGTTTTATAATAATACAATTATCTCAATCAATATCGAATAAATGATTACATTATACAAATAATAAAATCCTAAGTATAACTACTACCCATAAAAATTGATGTCATTTCTAATTCTGCTATATTTCAATATTTCACAAGAGAGCCATTATAAGGAAAACTAGACATGTCTAAGTTTTAGTATAAATTGCATATAAAAAAATGTTCAACATTATCTTAATAATACATGGTAATCATTAGATGACTTGTTTTATTGTTTATTCGTACATCGGTTAAAAAACTCTGGAATTTCAGGAAATTATTGGGTAACACATACTTTCATAAATTGAAACTGCGTATTGTACTTATTTTGGTTAACGTATCATTTATATTTTATGAAATATTTTAATGTGTACAATTCATTATATTAAATAGTTTGACAACATAAATTTCATTTATTTGTATTTTTAACATATTTTTAACATTCAGTATTTTACAATACAATTTTTATCTTATATCATTAATAAGATATTTTTATCGTAATCGGCACAATAAGTATCAATATGATTATTTATTTTATAACAAATTGAAGTATGTCGACAACGATTAATGCATTATAAGTTATATTTAAAAATAATATATAATTTTAATCTAAAAACATAAAAATATGCGTTATAATTAGATCATCATCATAAGAATATCGATATAATAGAAATTAAATACTATAATAAAACAATCAAAACTATTTATCTACATTTTGGTACATTAATTGAAACCCTTAATTACTTTGTTAATTAAATTGTTAAGTTGTTCATTCTTATTACTTAAAAGTAAATTTCAAATTGATTTGCTTAATTGTGTAAGAAAAAAATTATTTTTCAATATTTTAACAAGAAAATACTTTTATATTTCAACTAGTAGTTAACTTAAAAGTGTAACTTCTTTTAATATATACTATATAATAAGATTTTTTTATTTTTCTATCTCTTCTACATTCTTCTACATATTCCTATTTTAGACTATTTTAAATATTTTTATAATCAACTTTCAATATTTGGTAACCTAAATATAAATTACATCTTCAACAAGATATATTTTTACTTTACATTACTTCATTTACAAAGTTATATATAATTCAGTAGGTACTTGCAATAATATTTTTTATATATAGCATTGGTCATTCATGTATTTATTTACATTTTTCAGATATTGAAATTAAAGTGTATTAAATATTTAATTAAATTTTATTTAACATAAATGTTCTTAACATTTCTTTTATAGTGATTTAGTGGAAAATTCAGTAAATTCTATAATCGTATGGGATATAATGAAACGAACTATTTCAAATCTAGGAAGTCTACGTAACTATTGATATGTCATTGTAACATGGTGCATACTGCAATTTATTAGTAATTAATAAAATTTAATGAAAGAATCTAAAGATTTATAAAAGTAGTGAATACATTTGTTATTATTAAACAATGTATAAGGATAGTTTGGTATGTTTTATAAGAATATCCAGCTATTGTAATAATTACATAATATTATAAATATAATAAACTACCCTACTCTAAGGTATCGAAAATTTCATTATATAAAAAGTAACATAAGCCTAATTTATTTTTAATTCTATCGCTAAAACATAATATATTTTGTTAATAAATAAATCACAAAATACAATTTAATGTAAGTCAATATTTTTATTAATAAACTATTGTAATTAATGATGAATAGTTCATTAAACTCGATAATTTTCTAATGAAAAATTAAATCATCTCAAATTAGATCATAAAATATACATATATGTAGGTGACTTTTTGTAATTAAAAATATTTCTGCTACAATTTTAAATGCCTTTCAAATAATTATATAAAAATAAATATTTTGTATGTATATGCAGCATAACAAAGGATGCACATATTGTAAGACATTACAAATAGGTTATTACAAATATCATATTGAAAACTAAAATATTTGTAATATTAGTAGTGAGAATGATGATGGTAATTATGATAATTATAATATTAGTAAAAGTATATGTGTGTATGTGTGCGTGCGCGCGCGCGTTTGTGTGTGTGTGAGTGTGTGTGTGCTAAGAATTATTAACGAATAGATTTATCGTATGGTCACCTGTTAGAATTGTGATAGTAATGTCACAACCTAAACAGCGAAAACAAAAAAGGAATAAAACGAAAATGCAATCAGTACATCAGAGTGGAAGAAAAGCGTCATGCGGTGCAGCCAAGCGTGTGATGTTGCTGTTGTTGATTACCTGCGAAGGGCATGTCGCCGAAGTATTCTTCGACGTTATCCGTGGACATACTCTTATCAAAAATGGAGGCCAATGAGAGTGATCCGCTGGAGGCGTTGAGTGAGTCACTCGCTGGAAACTGCAGCAGCTCTTCCTCCGTTTCTGTTTCCATATCACGGGAACGCCGTTTATATACCTGCCGACATACAATGCAAACGTGCATGCTGTTTTCTGTTCTGCCTGTCATTCATCGCGCTGGGCTCTTTTGCTTTTTCTATAAAAGATCACAATATTACAATCATTATTTTCGTTTTTACCGTTGTTTGTCAACTTTCTTGATTATACGAACTTTCATATTTGCTAAAATTAAAGATTGATGAACAAATTTACCAAATACAATTTTATTATTAATCTGTAATAGAAAGCTTTCCAAGCCGAAAATAGAAATAAAATTACTTATTAGCTTTATATTGAGAATACTTGATTTACTAGCTTATGCAATCACAACAATGACTTTATATTATTTCGTTTGGTGTGTAAATGATTTCCATTCTTTATAATGAATAGAAGGTCGATATTTTTCAAAATTAATCAACTAATGTTTAGTATTAATTTAAATTACATTTGATTAACACCTTAAAAAAAGTTGTAAAAAATAAATCAAGTTTTATTTATTGGGAAAATAATAGAGATGTACATTTTAATTATTGTAGAGAATATCTTAAAAGATTTTATAAAATATATTAAACACATATACATTTATCACAAAATCTTTTATATAATTGGTACTTGTATGTATTTGTATGTAGAATATTTAGATAAAACCATTAAGAAATAACCACAGTAGATTTTCAGTGAACTTATATTGAATTGTAATTCTTATTTGTAATTGATATATTATTCAGTACAGCCCTGATTTATACAAACTTTTAAAACATAAATACATGCATACAATAAAGATTTTATTAAGTGTTTAAAGGCTGTTTGTAAGCTATTTTTTATAATTGTTTAAAATCGTGAGCAATTTGATGAAATGCAAAACCACCGTATAAGATTTATCATGTAAATAGGAAGACAGAGATAGAGAAGGGGAATGCGTTAAGAACTTATTATTGAAATTATTTTGCAGTCTGCCATTAATTTGTTTAAAAATTCTTCATTGCAATTAGTCAAATGTCTTTTTCTTCCTTATGCTTTTGTGGTGTCTTTTGTGATTGTGTATCTTCTTATTTTTTTATGTTTCCTTATAAAGCAATATTCTTATGTAGCAAATATTTTTAAAAACAAGAAAAAATAAGAAAAAAAAAAAAGAAGATTATTGTAAGATGCCAGAAAATACCATGTTTTCGAAAATGATATAGACAAAAATTCATTTTTGCGTAGAATGTAATTTGTGCACATCTGTGTACATTTGCAATTTGAAATTATGAAAAAGTTAGGAAACTTATTGTGAAATTTGTTGATTCTATTATGCATTACAATCTCTATTTTATCTCTATGGAATAAATAATATATTATTCCGTATAATAATACAATAGATAATTCATAAAAAAGGATACAATTTTATTTGGTTTGTATCATCAGCTTCTGTTAACTCAATTAAAAGAAAATAAACAAAACAGAATTTATTTCTAAATTTGAAATATAAAATCAGGTTTTGTTTAGTATGTAATATTTTATCAATAAGTTTGGATATTTGAATACAAAAACATTATTCTCTTAAATGTTACCAATTAAAAAATATTTAGATTTCATTAACTAAACAATATTTAAAAATTATAATAAAATAATATTTTGCAATTATATTAAAAATCATAGTTAACATTAAATATTTAATCAATGACTAAACATAAAAGAAAAGAATAAAAATAATTATTTTTAATATTCAGGAAAAACAAACAGTATAATGTTAATAATTATATCACAGTATCTAATAGACTAAAATTTTTTATCGCAATCAATATTATCAGAAGTTAACTATTAAAGACCTCATAAAGACTCAAAAGTCTTCATGAAAACAAATTGAATATGTGGCATAATGAACATAAAATATACTAACGTAATTGCTTGTTACTATTTGTCAATGAAGCCCGAAATATAGACAACATTATAATTTTTATTGTACTACTAAACGAAGAAAAAATATAGATTAAACTATATTGAAAAGTAGAATAAGGCATTATAGTTTTCACCGTCGCGATTCTGTGTAAATTAATTCTATCAAAACATTAGTTAAAGATTTACACTTTATAACAGATTGCGTATCTGTTAACTTTTAGGTATGTTATTCCTTTCTTATAGATAAAGAGAGTAGATATGCTACATTATGGGAGTAAGACAGGTAGGTAGAGCAATATTTCATCAGTCAAACGAGAAAGCTAGAAAACGCCCCCATGCGAAATACGCGTTGATGAGACTATGTCAAAAAGAGCCATCATGGCAAGCATGTGTGTATGTATTTATACAAGGCAAGGAGCTCCAAGCGTCAAAAAGAGCAGGGGGGAAGGGTGCCGTTTTGCACTCGAATGGGAGCAAGAGATCAAGATATAGATCTGAAGTGAATGCTCAGAGTCAGTCTCACAGCAGAACGATCACAAGGATTATGACTGTGCACGCAAACGGCATCACAACCCAGACCGAGGATCTTCTCTTCGTAAATCTCGTCAGAGATCAAACACAGAATTGTATATTAAACGTGGATACTCTCCGCCCTCATACACGTATGAAGGATTTGACGTTTGATGCTTGCGCTCACGAACTTCGAGATGACTGAATTTGAATCACATGGATATGCTTAAAAATTTTCAAGAGATCCAAAAATCATCAAATATGTTTTTCAATTTTTTATTTTTTTTCTATTTTAATTATATAAAATTTCAAATATATTTTCTTTATCGTGCTCCAATTGTTCCACTAAAATTTTAAACACATTTAATTCTATATTCTTAACTAATATATTCAATGTTTAACAGTTAACCGTCAACATTCAAATATAATGTATAACATCCATTATGATAAACTAATATTTGAAAATAAAAATATATATTGAAAAATATAATTTTTAATTATTTTCAATATTAATTAAATTAACATTATTAATATTAAATTTAATTTCATTTCATCTAATCAATTAAACTGGTTATTATTTTATTAATTATTTTGTTACTAGGTAAATTTTAAAAATAAAACACAACGATCTAATGTGTTACATGGAATGTTGAAAAACGTCAGATGTAAAAGTATGAAAAAATTTAGATTTATAACAATTTATACAACATTAATATAGATGTATACCAGTCTACAATGTTACAATGTATGAATATACATTTCATTATTTCGAGTATTCCTAATCAAAATATTTCTGAAAGTTTCTTCTCAAAATATAAAAATATTAATAAATTGATAAGTAGGTTCGTTTATAATATTCAAATTTATAATATTGAATGTGTTAAACAATTTTATATCTAAAATAATACATAATGCAAATAATATATTTTTTTTCATTATTGTTATTGTCAATTTATTTACAGTTAAATTTAATGAAAGTTAACATTTTATTTGCAATTTTAAACAAATAATTCAAAAACGTATGTAGTTAAAGATTATATTTTTAATTAATTTCCATGCACTATTTACAAAATGCAATTTTAATCAATTATATTTTTTTTCAATGATTTATAGTTCGAACAATAAAATGGTTAATATTAATGTAATGTTTTATAAAATTAAATCATTTATAATTCTGATTTTGATATAATTCAATAATTGATTAAATTGATTTATCATCAGTTCGAATCATTTTTTTACGATTATAGTAAACACTTAAAAAATGTAATGTATAATATTTTAAAACAATATAGATTCATAGTAATGCATTTATCATGATCATGAAACATGATTTTCTATTTTCCAGTTGTGATATAAAAATAATTAATCTAAAATAATATATTTGTTTTTTATTTATTTTAAATTCGTTACATTTCTATGTTTTTTCATTGATAAGCATTTTTATAAATTAAAATATAAGTTTGTTTTATAAATTAAAACTAGGTTTTTTATAAAGTATAAAAAATATAATAATATGTTAATCAAAAATATATTAAATTTGAAATAAAATTAATTAGCTTTAACATGCAGTAGCATACCGCAATCTGATTTAAAGTAAGTCTTCTATACCTCTCCTATTCTATTATCACGTATAGAACTTGGAAATGTATATTTATGAAACAAGTACGTACTGATACATTTAGTAACGCGCGGGAGAAAAAATATGGACAATAAAACATTGGATGCTCGAAGTAGTTATCTCTCACTCTCTCCCTTTCTTTTTCTCTATGTATATCCACTTATCTATCAATTTATCTATCTATTTATCAATTTTGATATTTCTTTATATTTCGCTCTTTCTAAGTGCAAAAATCGCTAGGACAATGATATTATATAGTATATATATAGTTGTAAAGAAAAAGTATATGTAATATTAATTTTTTACTGTTTTTTTTTGGCAGAACCAATTTTTCATAATAAATTGTTTACGAACGTGTATATCAAGAATCAAATAGATATTAAAACAAATTTTTGAACAAATCGATATTTTATGACGAGCCTTTTAATATGGTATTATATTTAATATGGTATTTTAAAAAATTATTGTTAAAATACTATTCATTCTTCTCAGAACAATTGATCAACGCTTATCTCGACTTACGTAAAGAGCGGAGACTACCAATCATGAAAATGGATATAACTGGAAACGCCCGATTCTTTAACTTTAATTCAATTAATTCTATTTTATATAAAAATTTCAATTTTATATAACAAGTGCATAATAAATAAATGCAAAATAATTTTAAGAATTAATATTTCATAATTTTCTTAAAATAATTTTGATACTGGTAAAAATATTAAATAATGACTCATCTATAAGACAATTAATGCTTGTTTGAATACTTTACAAATAAAAAAAATAAATATTTAATTTTTAAAAAAAAGTTACATATTATTTATTTTAAATTTATATATATATATGTATATAATAATAAAAATAAATAATACAGCTTCTTAAACATTTTTATAACTATACATTATATAAATATCGCGATAGAACCTAATTCATTTTTAAGAAATTATCACATTATATAATATTTGTAATTAAACAAATAATTGTGCAAAAGAAAAATAAGTGAAGAAGATAAGACCTACCTGACTGAGCGGTCGAATACGTTCATGAATGGATTCTTCAGCTTGAATGGCCGAGGGTGGTGGATGATCGGGGGTCGGAGGTTGAATGTAATGTGTTGGACTTGTTGGGAGCAATATCTGCATTCTTTTGAGGTATTTCTCAGAAATTTTGATCTGTGATTCTCTCGAATGGTTTAATTTTTCTTCCACTAAACACTCTTGCGAAGATTTAAGCGTAAGGACAGCATTAGAAACGAAGATCTCTTCTGGATCGTGGACATTTTTACTTTTAGGTGAATTTTCCGCCACAAGCATGCTGTCTATGTGGCAGTTTTCGTATTTCGAATGTCCATACATATGCTTGTGTAACTTCTTGTCAGAATTCGTTATTCGCATGGGTCTATTTTCAAGTACATAAGTAATGGATGTATCCACTCTAAACTCAGTCTCAACGCACTTTTCTTGAGTCTCTTTTTGCTGTTGCTCCTGCGATTTCATATCGACATATTGGTCGGCTCTATGATAGATGCGGCGCAAAATTTTATTATGCTCTTGCGATTGCTCTTCTTCAGTCCACTTACAAGAGCCACTATGTGCAAGGAATAAATAGTCATAATCCTTACGGACGATGTGACTTTCGGCCGAATATGTCATATCAGTCTGCAAATGAATTGGAGAAACCGAGAGATTGCGTCGTGGTGGCTTTTTTGGAGGTTGCAAAGTCGATAACGTAACGCCGTTCTAAGCACAAACATACACTACTGTTATTCATAAATATGCATTGAAAATTTGTAAAGATAAAACAATCGTCATAATTTAACAAAAATATAAAATGTCCAGACAAAAGAGAAAGCATTATACAATAATATATAAAGATAGAATGCAAGAAGGAGAGAATAGGCATGAAAAAGTAAATATATTGTAATATAAATTAAGAGAAATAAGCGTTACCGAGATCTTATTACTTGAAGTTAAACTGTATTGAGAATTCGAGAGGGGTGTCATTGGTAGATAAATTCCGGAAGACGATGAATCAGGCAAACAGCGCCGTTCACGTGAGCTCGGCCCTCCTATGCTCGATGACGAGGAAATACTCAATTGGTCCGATTCTTTTCCTCCATAGTATTTCTCTGGGAGCATTAAAGATAGCTGGTCTTCAGAAGCACAGCTCTCCCTAGTATCCATAAGCGTACTAGGTATGGGTAGTACCTCGCAGAGATTAGGCAAGGCAGTGCTGTCCGAGCCCCTGGATACACCAAATATGTAAACGAATGTTAAGAAAACAAGACTTGTAAGCTCGCAAAGCATCCGTTAAACATCTCAATGTACGTGTAGATAACTGTTTCTTCTTACACAGTACTATTAACTTCAAACGCTCACCCTTTATATACATGTGTATAGTTTATTAAGTTTTTATCATTCCTTTTTCTGTCTCGCTACTTACTGTTCTCTAACTTTAAGCTGCGAGCTTTTTACAGTTTATTCTTACTTATTAATATCCGTCATTCAATCCAATAATATATATATTATTATCACCGAATAAAAACAATTAATAACCTACTGTTTTCCTACTTGAGGTCCTATTCTTTCTTAAATATCATCATAACTAGCATTTATACATCAACAGACTCAGTTTATTTATTTAGATACTTTTTGAAAGTATAAAAGTAAACAATAATTAGAAAAAAACAATTAATTTATTTTATACTTTTACTTTTATAATTTATTTATTTTTAAAGTTGATAAAAAATAATATTAGAAGCATTTCATCTGCATTAGAATAAATTCATACGTATACGATAAATTGATAGATAAGTTATTTAGAAGATAAAAAATGGACAAGTAATTTTTAATTTACGATTTTAACGTAAATGCGCTAAAATTTTAATTCATTAATACCAAAACAATTGTTGAGTTATTTAAAAAACTAAATTCTTTAAGTTGTGAAAATGGAATAATGTATTAATAAATTATAATATCAATTAAAATATCAAGATAAATAATAGTATGTGGACAAAATAATTCACGTAGAATGTCAAATTTAATTTAAAATAGAGCTACAATAGGTATACGATCCTATAGTTGCATACCGTAAAGTGGCTTGTAACGGTGTTGTGATCAAGGTAGTGTTAAGTGGTTTGTCTTCAGGTGTTTGATCTGAACTTGTAAGGGTATTTATCGAGTTCAGTGTATCAGACATGGATATAAAAACGCTGTCAAAGACGGAACTGGGATCCGAATCATCGGTCAGCTGAAAATGCTTCCACGCTTCGTCCAATGATTCCTCGTACAGCGCATCTTCGCTGAAAAGTCCAATTTTTCATCAGAAACTATACTTTTTTCATATTCTTTAACTTGTGCAGTACGTCATTTTTGTATAAGCTATTATAACGAGACAGCGAATTGCTTAGTTCAATGTATTGAGCTATCATTATATAAGATATGAAATTTTCTTACTATCTGAAAGTATTTATTATAATATCTATTATTTTTTCTAAATATAATTAGTTTACTTCTGAAATAATAGGTTTACAATAGTACTTTAATATATCGCAGAAAACATATTTGAATAAAACCTAATATTTCAGTAACTTGGTATAATGTAATAAATAATTTAACTATGACAATGCTTGGGAACACTTGACAGTTACATTTTTCTACATATTATGAAAAATTGATGAATACATATTTTTATGTATTATACAAATGCATGAATTTTATGTTTAAAAATTAAAATATTTCTCATAAATTAAGATATAGAATATTTTAGTCTAAATTTTTATTGCACATTTAAAGCCAATAAAATACATTCTGATATATTTCTGTACTAACTTAATTTTTAATTAAGTAGTAAATAAATGTTTGATTAAATTCTTATGAATTTAATTTAAAAATCATAAGTAACAGTATATAATCCAAAGAATTTTTAGTATAAATTTTTACATATTAGTTTTATACGACCCATTTTCTTAGTTTTTCACATTTTAAGCAATAAAACGGAAATATTTGGAATAAACCTCTTTGACATCAATTGAATTTATTGTAGTTAACTGTAAGTGTAATATTCAATATTACTTTATTTTAAAAATCTAATTTGGAAAAAAATAATAAAATGAGAATAATTACCATTAAAAAGCGTAAAAAATAATGTAAGTGGCAAAAAATTCTCAAGAGCTATTTAAGTTTAAATTCAAGTTCCGCTCTCAAGCCACACAAATAATATAGAAAATTGCATGTATTGCATGTGTGATCAATGCATATCCCACGGAGCAAGAAAGATATATATATATATATATATATATATATACAGGTATATGTACGTATGTATTTATGTATGATTTAAATTATGTAGTAACTATGCATATATGTATTTATGCCTATATTTATTTCTAATGGTGAATCAAGAAAATTAAAATCTAATCCATGCCTTATTTACCAAAAGGGTAACTATTGCGTCGATTACGACGATAGAATCTCTTTTTATCGGTCCAAGCAGACATCTTAAAATTTTTGTTTGCATCCAACTTACTACTGAAAAGTGTACCATCGTACATACTAATAGCGCGTCGTATTTATATTCAAAACTACTGCTGTGAATATTCATTGGAATGTTTTTAAACTTTTTAAAATTCTTATATAAAGAGACTAATTTAATTATATACTGATTCGAGATTTCTAGAAGTTATATATATAAGTTTTGTAGAGAATAGACTAAGTACTCGTGTGAATACATAAAAGCAAATAATGAATTAACTTATTATAAATTTACGATAACGATATTATGTTTTAATATAGAAGATATGCTGATGTAATAATATTTAAATTAAAATTCATGAAAAGAAATATATACATTTATTATATATTTCTTATAAATATAAAGTATAAGTATAAAAATTTCTTCTAGAGACGGTTGTTAACCTATTAAATTTTTAATATAAATTTGTTTTCAAATAGTAATACTTACCTAAAAAAAATATAACTTTGAAGTAATTATTAACTTAAATGAAATATAAAAATAACTGATAATTTAAAGAAACCTAAACACAGCATATGTACGATAAATACTTTTCATCTATACCTAACCAAAACTTACAATATGTTTAAATAAGAATCGTAAATAATTTATTAAAAATTAATAAATATATACATAGAAAATTGTATTAAAACTAATTATGAAAACCTTATATTATTATTTAACTTACTATTCCAAAACAATCATAAGTGAATATATCGTAACTAATTTTGTGAATTTTGCCTAATTGTATAATACAACGGAAAGCCGAGCACTTGAAATGATTCATCTATTTACTTTTAAAAATAATATAGAATCATTATATAATGGATGTTTTATTTTCTTATTCATGATCAAACTACTTATGATTAACCGGATTCAAAAAATATTTGTTGTGCGTTTTAAATGTTGTAGGTTAGATACTATTCGATGAATGGTATAAGTTAACAATATACGTTAAAAATATATTACCGAGAATATAAGAGAATTACATTTAAGAAATATTTTAATAACTCTTCTATTAATTTAACAGTGTCTGAACTTAATTACAGATATTAAATTTAAATAAATAATTATTTCTGAAAATCACAGGCGATATACGTTGATATCTTGTTGTATAGATAACTAAAGAGAAAGTTTATCAAATATAATTTAGTAAAATAAAAGTAAATTGATAGTCAAAATATAAATTAATAAAAATAGAATATTTGAAAATTATATATTTAATAATAATATAATAATAAATAATATATTTAATAATAAAATTAATAAAATAAAGAAAATACAATAATAAACGTAATAATAAAATAAGAATTACATTATACGTTTAGTTATTAATACATAATCTTACTTATTTTGTAAATTTAAATATGTATAAATAGATATAAAGTTTTATATTTTCGTGTTGCGAAGAATTATCACAATACAATGTAACTTACGACGCAGAAAAACCCTTATAATCATAATTAAAAGCACATCAAATTCAATAATGTGGATATGTTATAATATTGATTAAATAAGGCTTATTATTTCTATGTAAAATATGTAAAGTAGCATAATGAAAAATAAATGAGAAATAATAATAAAACAAAGACGCAAAATAATAAAGCAATAAAATTATTGTTATTATTTATCTGTTAATTTAAAATTTATGATAATTTTTAAATGCAAATCTAAATATGATAACGAGCTTTTTACTCGATGAAAGGAAAATGAAATTAGCGTGAATAATAATGCTAACATCTCTGTTTTACAATATAAAATTGCGTATCAATACACTACACTCACAGAGCTATAGTAGAATTTGCGGAAACTCCATTATCACTGTCTCGAGGCTTGTGGTATATCTGCCAACGAGTTGGAGAAGATCCTTCTTCCAGGGAAAACTCATCCCCGGACTGTACGTTTTCATATGGACTACCCAGAGAGTCATTACTTTGAACCGGAATTGGCGGCAAATGTTCACTGTCAGCATCGCTTTCGATCCCGGAAGATGTGCGATGTTCTTAACATAATATTCTTTTATGTTTAATATTGTCCTCATAAAAGTAGACATTCCGTAATCATTTTTATATTATATTTTTTCATTTTATATTATTTTTAATTTTTTATTTCACTAAAATAGAAAAGTGAAATCCACTTAACGATACCTTCTCAAAATAAAATCATTTTATATTAATAAGTGAACTTTGCTTAATTTAAAAATTTTAAAATATTGATAAAATTATAAATGGCTATTATTAATATTTTAATCTATTGATAATTTAAGATTATAAAGGAATAATAATTGTTGTAATAATTGTAATAATCTATAGAATTTTTACTATAAATATTATGAATTTTTTTATCGCTTACTATTAATTAAAAATTAACCAAAATCCTACTTTCAGTAAGGAAATATTTTGACATAATTAAAATATATATTTAATTATAATTTCGTTCTAAAATTATAAAATAATGGAAAGAGATAATTTGTAATATATCATTAACGTACTTTTAATCACGGCAGTTATATCTTGCGTAACATGCGCTGGGAATTGACTAAGTAAATCAAGTACTGTATTATCCCGAGAGTCCTTGATAGTAAGGTCGACTCCTCGATCAAGGAGTGTTCGTACAACTTCCATTTTGCCACAAAGTGCAGCTTCATGCATCGCTGTACCAGCTGACGTACGGGTATTAACATATACCCCTGCCACGAGAAGCACTTCAACACAAGCACTAAAAAAAAGATTATAGCTTCATATGCTTAAGAAATATTTATTTTCTGGTTAATATTTTATGCTCATAATTAAACAAATTTGTAAATAATAATATTAAAGATATTAAATACCAATTTATAATAAAAGCTAATATATGAAAATTTTTAATGAACGTACATAAAATCTTCATCTAGAAGAAAATTAATATAAATTAAATTACAATTAAAATCATATACACAATAAGTAATTGAAATTAAATATTAAACATATATGAATTTATATTACATATGTTTACTTAATTCATTTGATGAATTACCGGAAAATAGATACTGATCCATAAATAAAATTATAGTCTAAAATTTTTAATCTTAAAATTATAAATTATTTGTAAATTGAATGTTATTTATCAATTTTTAACATATTATTTATTGATTAAAAATTCTGTATATATTTTGTAACCATAATATTCCTTTAGAGCTATATTTGTGTCCATGAAAAGTTCGCATATATTACATATTCATATCCGAGCACATTGCAATGCGATCACATTATAGATGAGGCATCTTTATAGCGATAAAGTGTGTTATAGCAAAAATGTATATAGAAAGATAAAACGCACTGCAGAGATGTCTGCAGCAATTCAATTCGTCGCATTTAATTGGGAGTGTAGATCATTTTAAAAACTTAAAAAGGGAATTGCGTGTACCGTATGGCCCGTCACCGCAATGTTAAGTACTACGCATCATCAAACCCAAGTATTCAATGTAACAAAATTGAGCGCGAATCCTGATATTATTTGATGATTGGATTTGCCATATGCACGTTGCTTCGCGATTATATATATATATATATATATATACATTTAAATATTGATTATCTCATAGACGAACGAATTTTCATAATAAGAGTTTATGAGTAACAATCGCAGCACGTATAATCCAATTTGGAATGTAATTAAAAAAAAATTAAATTTTCGTGTCTATTCTTTAACATTAATTATGCTTACACATCGATAACTATTAACAAGTGCTAGTAAATATAATATTTTTAATATTATTTTGAATTCAAATAAAATCTTTTGAGATACAAAATGATTATAATTTCAAATAATGTTATAATGAAACCTTTCTTAAATATTTAATGGAATATATCTGCAGATTTAATATAAATTATTTAAAAATATAAAAATTATTCATAATATTCTTTTTAGAGAAATTAATAATTAACACTTAAATAATACCAATTTCAGATATTTGAAATTACTTTACCTGTAGTAAGTAGTTAATATTTACAATTTAAATTGCAGTAAAACTATAAATTAATAAATTTAAGCTTTTATTTGTAAGTTTCAACCTTAATTTAAAATTGTAGCGTTGTGAACAACTCTAATTATTGAATCATCATAAAAATAGCAGAATGAATAGTATTATTTCTATATTACAGTGATAAACATTCTAGTAAAATAGTTATAGAAATTAGTAACATTATATATTGCTGGAAACCCCAAAGGATAAATGCATAAATGAAATGCGAACTCTAATCAAGATAGGTTAGGGAAAGTAAAGTATCTTTATATCATATATCCGAAAAATATGTCAATAAAAAATTTTTCTTACTGCAGATGAGTATATGAATGCTACCCAGGCCAAGATATGCGCAACTGCTAAAGGGAAGTGAATATACCATGCACAATACAATAACCATGTACGTGGATAACCATGAAGTGGATAGGTGATAAATAGATCCTTAAATCGGAATGTAAATTCGATTAATATGATTTCCGTGATCGGAAAACAATGTTAGTGGTTGGAATAATTCGGACGAATGGGTCTAGCTTGGATTCGGGTAATGCAGAGAATGAAACTCATGTTCGGATTTTGATGCTGTCAATACAAGCGAGCAAAGCTAACTGAGAGCAAAGCCCTACGCGGCCAAGGCACTGCGTATATCAACGAAGCCTCAATGTAATATCGGTTCGACGTGATTACGCAACGCGTTTTGCAAACGGCCTTCCCTTACTATGTTTCGCCCTCGTTCCGTCTGTCTGCACCTTCATTCTTGCCCTCGCTCGTCTATCAACTATTAACCTGAGCCTCTCTTTCATTCTTCCAAATTTACCTACATTACTTATCATTTCTCTACTTCCACTATGTTGTAAACTCATGTACGTAAACATAATTTTGCGTGTAAATTCGAATTAGGGCATGTTTTTTCCTGCACTGAGTAACGAGATTATGACTGTACATGTATATATAATCTCTAATCATATAATTGTATATGTATATATACAAATAATAAAATCATAAAAGCTAGTGCCATCAAATGATGGTATTTTACTACTTGTCTTGTGTATTTTTCAATAACTTGTATTAATCAAATGCATTGATGAAGGAATATAAAAATATTCTATTACAGTATTAAAATTACGTATGACAATATAACAGACTATAAAAATTAGATATTTATTATTATTAAATAATTTTTTTATAAAAGTTTATAAAGTTTAGAAAAGTTTAATCCAATAAAAATACATTTAATTTTTGTAACAACAAATTATTAATATTAAATAACAGACTACTAAAACCTCTTTTAAACTAAAAAAACACATCATATAACTATACAACTATTGGTTATGCTAACTCTATTTAATAATACTCTGCTATCATTAATAAATAAATTAATATAAACAAAATATTTTACTACGCTAACAATCATTTTTGTCTTCAAAATTATAACTAAATAATTTAATAAATGAATCAAATAATAATTTTGAATTTATACTTTATAAGTTATTGAATATATTTTTTAATTTAATGGTGAATTAATAACAGAAGAGGCGGTTCAAATTCTAATGAATGAAAAATTATAATTATTTAAATCATTATATTATGATAAATATGATACGAGTATATAAAAATATCTTTGCTAGCATTGATGTAAATATGCAAAAATAATATAAAATTTCAAAATACATGAAAAGTGATTAAAAAATATTTAAAATTGATTCAAATAATACTTTAAATTTTTATTCTTAATTAATATTTTGTGCAATTATACTTTAAATATCATTTAAGAAATTAGAGTCGATATAATTTAAAAAGTTTTAATACAAACAATAGTTTCGGAAAATTTATTAAAAAATCATCTCTGATTAGTTATTATTATCCCTTATCTTGATTTCTTAAGCAAGAATGTATCATACAATCGAAAAATGTAGTACAACGCTTATAACAATGATGTAGTGGCATTTTTGTACTGATACTAGTACAAAATATTAAAGAAATAAAATAAAACTATATATAAGAACTTTATACAATGATAAAAATTTCTCAATTTATAATGTTAAAAAAAAAGTTATTAAAGTTACTAGCACTACGAAGATAACTGACTAAGATTTTAATTTGTAAATATATAACACAATTTTTTAACTGTAATTTCAAAAACCACAATGGTAACTGCACTAAAATTTATACGTACATAAAAATAAGTATATAAAGCTTTTCTATAACTTGTCAAGGTGAAATTTGGCAGAAAATTCAATGTATTTAATTATACAGTTAGCTATAACTGCGTAAGCAACAAACTGTGCCACGCACGAATTGAAGCTAGTTTGAAGTTGGTTCTTCATTGGTTTCTGTTTTTTAATGTTATATGAAATTTAGTTTATGCTTCATACACAAAAGCTAATACAGATACGTATATATGCATATGCTTTTCCGTATCGAATGATCGATAAGTGATAATATACATGAATATATGATTACTAAATGAACTTTATGAAATAATAATTTTAAAGTAATATTCAAACTGATTGAATAACTTCAAATAAATTATATGTTTTCTATATTTTAAAGTAACTATATTCTCACAGTATTATAAATAATTTAATTCAATATTTAATAATTAATTAATTTGTTTAACTGGAAAAAAAAGCATGTAAACAAATCTCCAGCTTTTAAAATAAAGCTTTTAAAATAAAATCTGTAATATAAATAAATTTGAATTCCATAAACCAATATTAATTTTATCTAATTTTAACAATGTTTTAATAATATTTTAAACATATATAAGAATTAATTTATATAAATTATATATAATTAGTTAAATATGTAAATATTTTTTTACAAATATATACAAACAAATATATATTTGTTTTATATTTTTACTATGCTTGTTCATATATACTATAAAATTATAAGATTTTAATAACAATAATTAATACTATTTATGAATAGAAATTTTTCTAAAAAAATTTTAAAAGCTGCAATACCTACCGATGCCCATTTCGTGAAGCCAAATGTAAAGGTGTATGTGGAAAAATCAAAGAAGCTGATGAACTGCGTAGAGACTCGATCAACTCCGGATGAGTTCGAACTAATAATTCCACTGTTTCTAATCTGGATATATAAACGATCATATTTTTTATTTAACTTATTTAATTTTTTTCATTACATTAACAAATAAAAATAAAATTTTTATTTTATAATAATAAATATAAGTTTTATTTTTTCTCAATTTTACAATTTTTGAATATTAATAATTATGCAAAAATGTAGATTACATAGATTTTTAAAAAATCTAATGTTCGAAATAACAATTCTAAACATTTATATTAAAATCTGTAATACATACAATATAAATGTTAAGATAATTAAACACAATCGAGCTATATAAAGTACAAAAATTAGTATAAAGTAAAAAAATTAACATAAAATAAATAAAATTGTCATTAAAGTAATTGCAATGATTTTCAATTCATATTGCATTAAGCAAATTAGATAATTAATTTAAATCAAGCGATTTACCTGCCATATTGAGCAGCTAGATCCAAGGCAGATTCTCCACGATTGTTACGGATACTGGAATCGCATCTATATTGAAGCAGTTGTTCCACTACTTCCGTATGTCCATATTGTGCAGCGCAATGCAAAGCCGTTTCATTGTCCTTAGTCTGTCACAAACAAAATAATCAAATACTATCATGTACTAATATTGTATACTTTTTTTTATATTTTAAAAATAAATATTTGTAAAGCTTTTTGATAATCATTATAAAAATTAATTTTCATATTAATTATTAGAAATATATTTGAAAATTTATCTAGTATTTCACGATTAAAAATATTTTATAAGATTAAGAGAATAAAATAAATATAATTCACAATATGAGAGCATCATGGTAAAATTTAAAATAGCTATATTCTACAATAAAAAATAAAGTAAAAGTTACTTCATGAAATGCATAATAGATTATATAAACATTAAACGTATAATTAAATTTCTGGTTATCTTAGAATAGAAAATACCGTAAGGTTGACATTTGGTATAGAAGGCCCTTGGCTCAAAATTAATCGCACAATTTCTGAACTTCCAGACCATGCTGCTAAATGAAGGGGAGAAGAGCCCTTAGCATCGACGATATTGGTTGAAGCCTCGTGATGAAGTAGCAACTTCACTACGTCTCTGCAAAAAATATTAGAATACAATCACTTTAAAAAAATTACACGTATTAATTATAATTATTTTATTTCTATTTTTTATTTTCTAAAGAGTAATCAAAGCACTTTTATTAATATATATTAGAGTTTATAAAGATTAATGAACTTCAAATACATAGAACTCGAGTTTTTTCAATTCATTATTTTTGATAAATATAAAAAAAAGTATTTTATAAATTTAATAATAAATTCTTTAAATAAAATAGACTATATAATTATACTGATTTATAATACTATAACATTGTAAAAACGAGTGTAAACCATATATTGTAAATTACTTATGTCCATTCAACGCAGCATGATGTAGCGCTGAATATCCACTGGAATCTTGCACATTAGCTCCTGGACCTCGACGTAAACTGTAATTGCATAAAAATTACAATGATATGGATTGACTGTTGGGTAAAAAAATATATTATTTCAATTCTCATTATTATTAATCATAATAAAATTAATACTTTATAAAATTATTCCAAAAATAATTTAGGTAAATTTCAATGTTTACTTCAATATTAAATTTATAGAGCATTTAATAATCTACTATCTTCAGAAAAATTTTTATTTCTATAATGTTGTCAAATCAAATAAAAAAAATACAGTTACTTAATACTGTAAAAATAGAAATCTATATTCTTAATATTGCAATTTATGACCGAAAAAATGTTAATAATTTTGCTACTTAAACCATCAAAAAATATATTAAAAAAGAAGTCCTATATTATATTTTCCATATAGGAATGTAATATGTGACAATATCTATCACCCTATAATTTATTATTTTACAAGGAAAAATAAAAAAAGTACTTATAACGTAAAGACTTTCAATATTTTTGTAAATTTAAAAATAAATAATATATAAACAAAATGGAAATGTACATATATACAAATCATTTCATTGGATCAAATAAATTATCATGTGTTACATAATTAATAAAAATTCGTGTATAATACTGCTTTATTATATAAACAATTTTAATAATGTACACTACAATTTTATACTTTTCAATAAAGAAAAATATATTTCTTTAGTATTGGAACAAAATAAAAAATGTATTTAATTTGTGTACAAAGAAAATTCAATTTTTCTCTATGCTTTTTATATATATATATTTATATATTATTTCATTGTACTGATACTTCCTAAAAATATTGTTTGAAACATAATCATATTAAAAACGTAAAAGCTCCCGATATTAATTACAAAGCTATTTATATAAAAATTTCTTCAGTAATAAAACTTTTGATCCCGCCATTTGAAATTGCACTTTCAATGATAATTTGAATTGAACATTGTCGGCAACTATAATAATTAAATTACAATATATATTATTATACTTATTACTTTTCAAATAGTATTTCTTTTCTTTATACATTATGTAAATTTAACATACAAATTTACAACCTTATACTCATTTGATATTAATTTTTTTTAATTTTATAATTTGTATTTTTATTTCAAGTATCTGCACCTAACTCAAGGAATATAGTGTATTTTACTAAAGGGCTTACTTTTTATTTGCATTTCAGAAATAATTATTCAGCGTTGAATTTATACTAAAATTTATTAAAAACTTATATTCAAGTTAACTGTTAACTTATATTCAAGGAAATATTGTTCATTTTGGTTTACTAAATTTTAATATTCATTGCCATAATAAATAAATATTAATGTGATTTTGTTAAGTGTAATAAGTATATAAATCTATTATGTATGACAATATTATATTATAATGATTTTCTATATTCCAGTATATAGATAACATTTTAATTATAAATTAATTATATTAAAACCATTTATCTATAAATATGTATGTATTTATCGGCCTCTTTTTTAAAATATTATGTAGTTAGAGATTTAAATAAACATTCTTTATATTTAAAAAATGTTGATTTGAGCTATTAAAAAAATCAGCATAATTTCTAATATATATATTTAATATATAGATTGCATAAAATCTAATTTACGTTTTATTGCTCAAATAAAAACATCAAACATTACAGATAATTGAATTTTTTTTTAATAGAATTATACTCAAATAAATAAATAATATAGAGTTTTAATACATCACATGCTTTTTCTATTGTGCTACATATCGTTGGTTATGTTTAGCTGAAGAAATACAAAGTTATAGATAGATAAATAAATAATAATATGCGTAAGATCTACATATATTTGAACATCTTTATAAAATTTAGAAAATTTTCCTTTTATACTTAATACATTAACGATATATAATATATGACATGTACACATAATATGTATATAATTTATAAAAGAAAACAACATTACATGAACATATTTTGACACGTACTTAATTTTAATAAATTATTTTAATATTAAATAAATTAATGCTATTATTAATAAAATAATTAATAAAATATATGAAAAGTAAAATTTTATCTTAAATATTTAAAATCGTCAATTTCTTTACATGAATTCAAAACAAAAAAGGCTTACTGATGCTTATTATTATTAATGCAACTACTAACCAATATCCTGTTGAACACATGTTCTCATTACGCAGTATTGTTAATGCTTCATATATGCATTCCCTGTCTATCTCTATTGCTCTCGATCTTGTTTTTTTTTGTTCTCTAAATATCACGTAAATTCCCGTAGGAATATAATACTAAAGCATAATCCATAACTATATTTGTTAGCAACTTCCGACCCCCTTTTTAGCTCTCGCTTACCCTACATGTTCACCATTTGTTCGTTTGCTAACTCAAATGTGAGCAAAATCATTCGCATCGTATTTTGAAAAGTGAAATGATCTCGGTAAAAATCTTTCTCATTCTATGATGTAGATGTCATATTACATGCTTCTTTATATACGATTAGAAAAAAAACAATTGAAAAGGCTACTTCTTTAATTTAATATTAATTAGATAGAATAACAATTTACTTTGAAATTTTAAATGTAACTTTATACTAAAGAAAATATATAATTTTCCGCTGCAAAAATTTTAATTTATCTTTTTACTTCAATAAATTATTTATAAATATTGAAAAATTTAGAAAAAATTATTTATGAAAATGTTGTATTTTTAATACACTGGCATTGTATAAAAAAATGTTAACGTTTTAAATTAGTAATAATAGAATTATTATAATACATGTGTTATTTTATTGAAAAAAATCAATGATATTAATATTAAAGATAATTCCAATAATACTATTGGATTTAATGTTTTTATAATATAATATACTGTTTGAACCTATAAATTATAAAAGTTCCTTATATATTAATTATTATACAATAGATATTATTTCTATTTATTTGAATATAATTTAGTACAATTGATTATATTGCTTATGATCCATTATTTGGTTATCTCTTCGAAGTATATTATCTATCTCACTTCTATTATTAAGAAAATCCGTATTTACCCTGATCTTATAACTTTTATAAATATAGTCTACCCTACCTAGAAACTCAGTTTCCTCCCTATTTATTGTATAAACTACACACATAACTTATTTTTTTCGTATAATATGCAACTTATAAGAAATTAAAATTTTTAATACGACTATCTAAGAATATATTGTTCACAATGGGCATAAAAAAATATTTAATATTATACACAATTATGAAATATAGAAAATAGTATTCAATATAAATTAAAACAACATATATTGTTAATGAATTATCCCAAATATAAAATATTTTGTTGCATTAATAACATAATTACAATTAATAATATTAAATTAAATGTTGTTAGTACAGATTTTCCTGTATTAATTATATAATATATTATAATAATTCTACTCCTACATATAAAATAATTGGAAAAATAAATACAAATATATACAATAATTTATTGCTTTAATAAATACAGAAATGATTATTATTATTAATCGAATACTAAATTGTTTTTTTACATATAACCATTATAATTTTTATTATAAACCAAGTTTAATCTTGCAACACTTTTCAAAATAATAAAATATTCATCATTTTATCATAAATAAATTAAAAGTATTTTTTCTTCATTTAAAAATTTTAATGTATAATTATTATTTAACTAATATATGGAAAACACATTTACAAAAAATTTAAAAAAAAAGTCCTTAGCAATTCATAATAAGTTAAGTTTGTTAATTAAATCACCATCAATCATTTTATGCAATATAATCAAACCCGACAATACAAAGAACACAAAAATGTATAGAAAACTCCGCTTGAATACCAAAGCAGTGCCTACTCTTAACACCAAGGAATCGTTAAAGAGAAAACTTATCCTGATGTAAAAAGAAAATTGAGGAAAGGAGTGTGAGAGGAAAAAGTGTACATATACAAGAAGTCGTCGAAGTACAATATGCTGAGAGCTGAGCTTCACTTCTGACACGTGTCGCATTTCTCATCAATCGCGAAATCGTGTATTAATCCGATTCTGTCGTTTCGTAGCAGATCTCAACCCCTGACGACGGTAGCCGTGTGATGTATTGTACAGAAACATCAAAACGCATAAAAGGGGGAACCAGAGTGCGCAATTTCAAAACACGATGAATGCTAATATGTTCGAGAGGAATGAATACGACTGTACTCTACATTTTCATTCCACGTTTGCATCGGCCACTTATACTTAGGCATCAACCTTTTGCATGCCAAGCATATCTATGTACTTAAGAATTCACACATATTTTAAGTTGCTTTTTTATCATAAGTTTTAACTTGTTTGTACCCACAAATATATTTCTTTAGTATATTATTTCATTTACTAGATTTTCTCGTGTTAATTAGTAAAAACAACTATGTACTATTATGCAGATATTTTTAATTTAATTTCGTAAAAAATTCAAAAAAAGATCCTTTGATTCTTTGTCAAAATTCTAGCTGTTATAGTATATTTTCAACTTGCAAAGAATATTCAAAACATTTTTTTTAGATATAAAATCTGCCACTTAACTCTAACCACAAAATATATTAGAAGATTTTTAAAGAAAAATCGCTGACCCAAATATATATTAGACTTTCATATATTCATGTATATAGAGATAATATATTACGTATTACACTAAGTTACATAAAACTTTCTAATTTCTGTAATTTGGAAATATAAGTATTAACAGATTTTTCTAGCTCAGTGACACACAACACACACGCGCGCGAGTGTATATATTTTTTTTTTATGTTCTACAAGAATATAAATATAATAATTACAATAAAAATCAATTGCAATAAGCATGGCCCAGCTTAATGAAGTCAACTGTTTCAAATATATAATACATAATTTAATATCATCCCACGTAATCTATAAATGTTATGTAAAATACAATAACATTCTGACAACAATTACATATAAAATTAGATCTGTTCTTATTGTAAAAAATATATTAATAATAACTAAGACTTTC